ATTTAACAATAAATCTTCTTTAATATCTACGAAATTTTAATATTTGATGTTGTGTGTTAATTGAGCAGTGAAGAATGATGCTGGCAATTGATGTCTTAGTAGTAGTAAAATTAAACGAAAGTAGCGTTTAAGAATTAGGGACTGTAATTCGAATGAATGAGAATAATTAGTCTTAAGAAGAAATTTGATAAATTAAATAGCTTTTCCTTTGTTGGTTTGGCTTAATGAGATACCCGACAGAAGTAAATTTGGTTTGTGACATGGAATTAGTCGCTTGCTCACTGTCCTTTGCTCCTTGCTAAAGAGTCTCAGCCTCTCAGTTTCCAAGCTGCAATAAATCACCAAGCATTGCTGAAGTGAAATGTTTTCCTCAGTGAGAGGATGAACATGATCCGATGACTTAAGTCAGCCATTCCCTTCGTTTGGTATTAGTGGCCTGTTTTATATATTAATAATAGTTCTTCCCACTCATGTTCATTTGATTAAAAAATAATTCTTATTAGCCAGTCAACTGCATCCTGTCATGTCTTTGTTTTGTTTTTTGGTAACTATTTCCCCCTCAATAAAATGTATTCATGTGCAGAATAGAGGAGATTGATTTGTGGCTACTATGACCAGACTGGTCTGAATGTCTATTAGGCTTCAGTATGTTAATAGGCTGTAGACATCGATCTTATTCTAGACAATTTTTTTTTTGGCTAAGAAGCTACTACCGAATTGCTATGACTGGCTCGCCGCCCTAAACATAAATAGCCATTAGGGCACTGGAAGGCTGAAATAGATTAAATTTTTTCTACTTGCTTAGCTTCAGTGGTCAAAAAAGAATCGTGAATTGCATAAATGTTAAGACTTTAATTTTGCAGTGCACTCACTGGCAACGAAGACCTTCCTTTCAGGGTGGATTTTAATTAACATAATTAAATTAAAGACGTAATTAAAACACGAAAATATGTTTATTTCTTTCAAATAGCTTCCAGAATAACTTTAAAGTAAGGTAACATAAACTAGCCCATATAGTGCGGTGTTTTCAAACCTGGAATTCACAGTTTTTGCTTATTTAATTTGCCCGAGAAATTCTTTATAGGTATTCACTGCTGCGGATCTGCAGGAAAAAGGAAAAGCGGGATATCAAGCAGTGTTCAACACACTTATGCAGCTTGCTCTCAAAGCGCAGGGCATATTTGAACAAAAGGTATGTTCTCAGTGATTTCATTTTTTAATGAAGTAGCTGTCGGTTAACGGAGGTTTTTCTTTTTTTGGGTTTAATTAATTTTAGGGAATTGATGTCGAGCAACTCATACAAACAGCTTCACAAGTGGTTCCAACAAATCTTGTGCAGACAATTTTAAATTTCTTTAGACGAGCACAACCAACTCAGGTTCGTTATTAGCCAGTACTGAAGCAAAAATTGTTACAAATGTTACTTAATGAGTGTGACAATTCTCTTTTCACTTCATAAATATATGATGAGAGGTAAATATGTGGAAAACACTGCTACTACTGAAAGGAGGCTGAAAGACAGTCTCCGGAGATTTTTTCTTTTTGAAAATAAAGGAAAATATTTTCTCTTGCAGACACCAAAAAAACTTGCAAAAGAAGCAGAAGAAAAGGATAAGGCGGCTACTATTGAAAAGGTTCCTCTGTTTTTTACAGTTAGAAAAATCTTTATTAAGGTAAGGTTGCATAATTATCCAATCAATAGTGAGGAATATCATGAAAAATTGCAATGTAATTACGGGGTAATTATTCACTTCACAGAGTTCTAATGAGAACTTGTTGGATGTTATTATTTATACTTCCAGGGATGTGGTATGGTAAGAATGCTACTGTTCCTAGGTTTTCGAAACTCTACTATCCAAAAAAAAGAATATGAACATACGGAATTAGTACTGTACACTCCGTCGGTAATGGTGGTAATCAAAATGATGTCATGAGTCATTAATCAGCAGTTTAAAAGTCACTGTTGGTTACTCCTTATAGGTTGTTGAAGAAAAACAGACAGAAGATGAAGTGTGCAAAAAAGTTGATGTTCAAGCGGGCGTTGATACACCGGCTGTTGCTGTTCACTGATTTCTAATTTCAGTTTGTTGCAAGAAGAAAAAAATCTTCTATCTCGAAAATATTTCAGTTTTCTGCCAACATGGTTTTGTTTTAGTTTTATTTATGTTTGCGATCAAAATGAAACATTGCCCTTTTTCTTGAGCGTAAGAACAAAAAGATTGAGTATACATTGCTCACATAACTATTGTACGATTTTATTTATCTAATAAGTGAGTAAGCTGGAATTCTTTGGTGACATTTTATTATATTTATATAATCGTTGATGCTTCACCGTTGAGATTTCATCGTATCAGTTAATTTCCACATTTGTTCAATCATTTGATATTACTGCCTATACTTATAATTCATCACAGTATTACTTGCAGAATATGAATATATTTCGAATTCAGTGATTTGTTTATCTCGTTTAAGTAGTACTGTAGTAATCAAATGAAATATCTGTGCATACCATTCATTACTACAAAATGGTGGCGGATTCCGAATACTATAAATATAAGAAAAAATAGTAAATGGAGGAAGTTAGTTTTGAATCTACATTCCTTGAGACTTATTAAAAAGGCTATGAAGTAATAATACTGCCAAGCTTTTCATTGCTTCTGAGCTTCGAATTCTCGTTACTGAAATAAACAATGCTTAAAATCTGACGTGATCCGTGGTTATTAATTCTTATGCTTGTCTTTATAATACAAATTGGCTTTATCATCATTATATTATCTGAACTGAACCAATCAGCATAGTATAATTCAACGCTTTTCCTTGATGTATATGTGTGTGTGTTGATAGGAAATAGGGATATGGAAAAGAATCGATATTCCTTATCGACAAATAAAAATCTGAGTATGCAGCTGATTTCTTTGTTCATATAAATTTAAATTTCTTCGCATCTTCTCGATTCGCATTGCTACATACACTTCATATACGATGGTTATTGTTTTTAACAACTGTCAGTTCGGAATCATTTCCTTATGCCTATGATCAGTTCTGGAAATAACTGTCAGGATTGAATTTGATAACCGGCATTGTTCCATTTTTTATTATGCTTTTTTTCTCTTTCAATTCTCTTCTAACACTTGTTATGAAGTGATTTTTTTGTTACAGCTGCTTTAATTTAGAGCTTGAGTTTCTTGCGTCTAATTTTTAATTGGAAGGACGTAATGCACAGTGATGAAAAGATGTCAACTTTGTCATCGTTCGATCAGTTATAGCCGAATAGTACTTCATCCTACTATTTATTTTTAATTGCTATAAATTCAAAAAAATAGATTGCCGTATAAATACTTAAGATTAGATTTGCTTATTCCCTTCATATAATCTGAAGTCCGAAGTTCTAATGGAATAATGAAAAAGCTTTTGTGAGGAAATGATATTTATGTTATCGGTAAACGATGATGTACTGTGCAGGTATCACTTGTGATTAAATGATTAATTTGATCAGTGGGTTCTATGTTACCTTTCTAAAGGTTCCCTACATAGGATCAGAACACACTACACTAAGCTTCTGTTCGTCATGCATTTGCTTTATGCGAGAGTTCTTCATTTCGCTGATTCTGTTGTCGTAATACCAGTCAAAGACCGCACATCTTTCCATCCCTGGGTCCATGTTCAAGTTGAAGTAGTCATATATTACTAGGTATAATTGATGCGAAGTCATCATTTCTCTTTTGTTTCCTCTTAAATTATTCAGTTTCCGGATAAATTGTCCATCATGTTCTGAGTGAACTTTACGGATTAACAGCAGCATGTGTTGTATGGTATTGTTCATCGTATTGTCTCGTCGATGCTGTTATTTCCTTCATATCGGCTATTTCTTTTTGATTGTGACAGAGACAAAGGATTAATCCTACTTTTTGGTTGTTCCCTTTCCATATCACAAACTTAAATAATTAAACTTTAATTCTGATAGGATGGTGCGACGAGGGACACAGCAATCGGGATCTCAGTAAGACAACCATAACGAAGATATCAGTAACAAGGGAGGGAGAAGGTAGACTACGAGCAATATCGTAGGCAACTCAGCTAGTCCAAATAGATTTGAAGGTTGAATTAGTGGGTGGAATCGTACACTCACTTTATCAGGCGGAAAGACATATTTGTGTTATAAGACCACAAGGACGTATTTAGGGTATGCACACTGGTAGGTTGGGATGTGAAACGATAAAGCACATAAAGAAAGAGAACAAAGGGGTTGCCATTCTTTTGTTTCCCCTCGTGATTTCAGCCTGGAGAATGCAGAAGTAATGTCAATCGTATTGAAATTACGGTTGTTGATGTAATGTGGTGTTGTGTTGTTCAGGTGCATCTCGATTCACCTGGTTAAGCCGACAATTCGAGGTGCATCGGGTAGATGAATTAACTATTTGCATTGTTGTCGGTAGCAAAAGTTACCAAATGGCTGGGTTAGAAGTGGGCAAGACGTGTTTTGTAATGGGACAAAGGGAGACTATCAGTAGTACTCCTTTCATTTGAACGGAAGTTTATGGCATGCTTGGATGTTGTGGCAAATTTAATACCAAAGGGAAGGGAAAACGAGGACAGTGTAGACAACGGATTTTAATGATATCGAAGCATTCCTGTAGAATATGTTGAGTGATGGATATGCTGTTGCTTCACTGTGCCAGGGATTTGCTCGACAAGTGGTTGTTGTTTAATGGCGGAGACAGTATGGATTTCATTGCGATCTGGTCGGAATAGTGTCGCAATACGAGGGAAGTCGCATAGGCAGGAAGGTCAGTTGGTACTTGTTGTCATGGTTTATGTAAGGTATAGTGGTGGTGTTGGTGGCGGGTAAGGGCAGGTCGCTACACTGAGTACGACTAGTGAATAGTGAGGACCAATCGTTAGGGGAAGTAATTTGAGTAGGAGTGGAAAGTTTCATGGTGCTCTGTTGTGTTTAAGTAAAATAAGGAATAGTTTGAATTCATTTAGCCATCGCTAACACAATGGGGAAGATTTCTAAAATTCAAATTGCTAAAATTGGTCGGAAAGGGTTCAACATTCGCAAAGGTATGGTGTCTTAATATAAAACATTTTTACTGGGATAATTGTTTATTGTCTGTACAAACATTTTAAAAGCAAGGAGCTATTTTATTAGCATTAGCACATTTAATTTATAGAGAAAATAAATTGTTGGTGCATTGTACGGAATTGCATAAAGTTAGAGGGAGAGAATAGAGACATTTACAGCACTGGCTGATATGGTTACCGAATTTCTGGAAATTATTTGCCATACTGTGCTTTTCAATTTTGGTAGTTATGCAGCTGAGACGTTTAGTACAGCCAGCTATGGAGATATCCTTATCCATGTAAGTGCAATTTTAAAATGACCTATTTTCTACCCATCCACTAGTTTGTTTGTGTCAGTATTCAGGACTTCAAAATTTCCTCTCGCAGTTGGCTTTGCGATTGATCACTTCCTTAGACTCTTTCAATTTTCTCTTTCAGAATAATCATTAATTGAGTTCTTCCTCTTTAAAGTATTTTTGAAACTTAGAAATGCCAAGTGAAAGAAGTATTGGATTATATAAGTAATGCGCTGCAAACAGTTCATCGATGGATAAAGTTCGATGTGCTATCCCATTTTGCAGCGTGTGTCCTTGATAAAGACAACAGAGTGGTAATGGAAGTCGTAATAATCATTATGGATACGCAGTACTCTCACCTTAGGTCCATATAATCATATAATAATTAATAAAAATATGGTCCATTTCTTCAGATTCAAATTTACTGCTGGAAAGAAATAATCACTGCTTGGCTACGTTTAGCTCTGATCAACGAATATAATCTATTTCAGAGACGTACTGACAAATGAAGCAGCTGATATGAAACGACAATTCCAACAAACAATTTTTACATTACAACGTGGATCATATATCGAGAATATGAAGAATGCTTTCCGACACGAAGGTGATAATGATTATGTGAATACAGACACTGGAGAATAAATACTTTTTCTGGTACTTATGACTTATACATATTTATTTCAGAAGTACGCTTCGAATTACATACAAAACTTAGAGGTAACTGCGAAAAGAAACTGCAAAAACGAGTTGGAGTAAGTTTTCTTTTTCTTTATTAGAAATGAAACCTCTGACAAGAGTTCGCATTCTTCTCCAACTTTAATTTCAGGAGTTTAAGTGGGAAAAATGTGACCATCATGTCCCTCAAAATCTACATCCTTGCGGCAGACGAATTGACAGCAAACTGATTGAGGTTTTGCATCTTCTGAATGTTAATTAAAATATTAGGATGTTCAAGATATAGTAATTCGGTGATGTTAAACTATGTTTATACAGCTGCACAGTTTAAATGCTTCAAGAGCAGTTTATTGTAGTACTTTATCTCTGCCCAAATTAGATAATTTAAGCTTAGTTGACTGAAAAACGTTGCTTCAAATGACATTTGTTTTGCAGATCGTTGCAATGGTACGTCAAACAGACGAAATGTAGTGCATGTTGAAGACACGTAAGAGTGGCGCGATAGGGATGCAAAACTACTTCAGCTTCTGCAAGGACCGTGCGTGTGACTTCCTCACTTTAAAACGTGCCCCAAAGCGCATTTCATAAGCGGTATTCAGGAACGAAAAACTGTCGTTGTCGAGGTGCTGGATGCGATTGTAAAGCAATGAATTCACTCTAAAATCCCAAGTAGCAAAATGTAAAAAAGATCGTAACTTCAATGACTCATGATGGCATCAGAACCTATTGTTTTTGTTGCTGCTAACAGGTTAGTGTTCCAAACGGAATACAAAAAATAACTTTATCGATAAAAATGATGGAAAGCTAATTACTCCAGTTAAACTCCCAAACTTTAAATATATCAAACAAATGGGATATTACGGTAAAAACGATGGAAAAACTTCTAATTACTTCAAGTTAATCTTCTGAACTTTAAATATAACAAGCAGAAACTTTAGTTCAGTACTTAAGGAAACTTTGCAGGAAGTGCCATATTTACTGTTGATAAGAATTACAGAACAACTTATGAATTATTTGAGTTAAATTTCCAAAAAAAATTTCCAAAAAAAAAAAAAAAAAACGGAAAAGTGCCGGAAATTTCTTAAAGAGTGTGATGTTTGTTAAACTATGCAGAATAAATCATAAATTGTAAGTTAAAGTTTATAATTTATAAACTTCATAACTTGCCAAATTAGTAAGGGTAGCTTACAAAAATAACTTGTAAAGTTAGAAAAAGGCTTATGAATTTCAATTTAGCCTCCAAACTTTAAACATAAAAACACAAATTTATTAACATTGAAGAAAGTTATTAAGGAATACAATATTTACTGAGTTTGGAATAAAAACCACGGAAGAGCTTACAAATTATTTCAAATTATTTCGACCAAACATACAAATATAAAACTTACTAGTGGAGAAACAATGTCAGTAAACTTATGAAAACAAGGGTGTAAAAAATATATGGAAGATGAAAAGTTTCTAATTTCAAAATGATACACGAAAGAAAATAGCGGGGCGAAGAAAAAAATGAAAGCGAAGGGGAAGGGACACAAGATAATCCGAGTTGCGATGTTGTAAGGACGGGCCAGCCAACTGCTGCAGCACATCACTAATTCAAGATGCCAATAAATTGTTGAGATTGTGCGGTTAGTGGCTGCAACTGCTAGTTTATAAAGCAAAAGAGTGGATTACAACACCTCTACAAAAGCGAATAACAGAAGGAAAAAACACAAACGATGGAAGTATGGATTAACAAACATCCAATAATGCCCCTTCCATCGAAAGCAGACAAACTAGCAATTGGATGCTTTTCTACTCTATCATACTCGATACTTCCAATAAAAATAATATTCAGCGATAAAAATGATACATTAAGATAAAAATAATCAGCAGATTTCCCCTTCCCAAATAGCCAAAATCACTACAGAAACAATGTCATTTAGATGTTACCGCTTATTTATAACCCACTTATACGACATTTGTCATCTCTAAATTGCATCGTTACTTGGCAAAAACAAAGCTAAACATCCGATGTAAATGTTACTGTTTCCTGCTTTTAAGTCGGAAATTCCACGCATGTTCAGCATGGGAAATTCGCATTTTAACAGTAATGGGAATTAATACTACGCACCACTTTCACACCCCTTCTAAGAACATGAACGAGACCCTTCCCTACATGCTTGTGTTTTTAAAGAAATTGTAAGCAGTACACTGTGACATGCAAATTTCTGATGCTGTTACATGGTGAACAAAATATTTCATAGGAATAATTCCGACAAAAAATACTTTGAAAATCATAAATGCGAAAGATATAAGAGAAACTATATGAAAAGAAACCAATAATTCATTAGCTGCTCATTTGGCAAACAACTATTAATGTTTTCCTTATAAAAATAAGAATGACGAACTTCAATTACAGATGAATAAGAACTTTTGGTATTTCTGGTTAATCTTCAATACGTACAACTCCTGATTAGGATAGAAAGAAATAGAAGAAAAAATGAGCTGCCGTTCTCTCATAAATCAAGAATAAAATTATAATTTAAAATATCTCATATTCTAAATTTTGCAACGAGATTAACTACAGGAAATATTTAAAATGAAAGGGAAAGATGTCAGCAATCGGTTTAGCTATAATCCTTCCCGCCCTAATCATCACATACTGACATTTTACCTTATTCACTCGCGCAAAGGACATCACTAGTCTCAGTACAATCCATGCGCACACTTACACTTCAGTCAATTAATAATAGCTGTCCTTTTCACACTCAACATGAGATATAAATCCAATAAACAAATCCAACAAGAATAATTCAGAAATTTGAAAAAAGGTAAGACGATCTCCAAAAAATGAGCCTCCATCCAAATTATTGTATTCTACCGAAATATTTTCCATGAGCTTTATAGTTTAATAAAGAACTACGTGAAATATATATACTTAATTCGTATATATTAATGATTTACTTCAGATTAACTATACCAATGAAATTAATTTTTTGAACATTTTTCTAGCAGTAAGAAATTTAGCCGAAGAGACATGTCCTCAGTCAAATATCCTTATATACAACAGCATATACAGAAGATTTAAAAACAAAGGAACGGATACATAATTTCGATAGAAGTTCGGCGAGATCAACTGGAAAGTTATATATAATATTCCCATTCTGTAGACGCAATAAGACATAATTGTAATGGATTATATATTGTCAAAAAATTTTGCACTGCACTTAAATGAGCGTCTCGAATGTGATGGATTATTGAAAATCATAGAATAAAACAGCAAAGGTACCGCAGTGCAGAAATATCATAGTTAGCAGCAAAATGAAAAAAAAAAAAAAAAGAAAAGAAAAACGAAGAACGAGAAATAATTCTTTTTAGATGGAAAATGCTTAAATACCAAACAAAAACGAGAAGCGCCAATTCCAGTTGCCCAATTCAAATGTAACATTCTAAGAGACCGAGTACAACTCAATTAAAAAACACAATTTGAAATGATTGAAAGGAAACATATGATGATTAAACGTTGCTTCTGACAGTAAGCTACAGAAATCACGCCGTTGTAATACACAGTAGATATAAATGTAAATATAATAGAAAGCGATACCCGAAGAAGATAGTCGTATAAAATGCAGCAAAAAAGCAAAGACAACAGAGCACGGCTTTACCAAGACTCTTCATGAGAATATTTTTGCTGCTCTATCTGACTTCTTGCTATCGAGTTTTCATCTTCACAAATACGAATATTTTAAATGAAAAAAGTACACTACTGCAATTAACATAAGAGTTACTTCCATAATTAAGTAGTATAACTCTCAAAATTATATTAAAGGAATTATCCTGACTTTAAAATTAAAAAATAGAGAAAATTACATCTACATTCTATCACAAACCGCAGAAATTCGTGGTCCATATGCAAATCATGCCGAACATTATAACTTCTATATTTACAAAAACAATATAAAGCAAATTTTAAAATGAACAACAGTATATGCATAAAATAAACTCAATGTGCATGAAAAGATGTATAATGTAACACTGCCTATTTTTAAGAATGTAGAAATCAGGAGCAGTATAATTATTATTATTTTGTCTGAAACTATTGAAGATTTTAAAATGCCAAGAAATCCAAAATTAAGAAGACAAAAATAGATGACAAACTTATTTTAAAATTAGGCTTGTGCGAATGCGTTTGTAGCATACAGCACGTATCCTATTTGATACATATTATTTCATACATACTGATACTATATACAAATAAAGTGAAGAAAAAAGGCAGTAAAAAAAAATCACTAATGATTTGTTAAGTTTCAAAAGTTACATTATTAAGAAAATAAGAAATGAAATTAAAATAAGGAGTAGAACAAACAAAAAAGTAATAAGTGCAGATGATGCAGATGGTGAATTATTAAAATAATGCGAGAAACTGCCGACACACCTTAGATTAGACTATAATGGCAAGATACTATGAAAAATTCAGCTTATAAAGGTTTCAAATAAAAATGTTAGAAATATGAAATAGGAGATTCATGCTTTGAACTTACGCTAAATTACCAATCTTAGGGCAATACAAGATTCTTGTATTGCCTTACGCTTATTTTCATATAAGCAGCAATATTAGCTTTAACAAATATAGAAAAAAAAAGGACGTATGAAAAGCCAAAATAAAGTTTTGAAAAAATGAAGAATTTCATAGAAATTCTGTAAAAAAACGCTGCGTGCAAAACTCATTCCCATTTACATGTCTGAAATACGGAAATAAATACGCAAAGAGAACTTGCGTTCATTCTTATTCAGCGAATTATGAACTCGGTGATACAGCAACACAGTGCAGCGGTTTTATTTGCAAGTTGGGACTGCATTTATTCCATTTTGGTGTCCCATGAAAGTTTTCATGTCGTGCCATCTCTACTTCTATGACTTCTGTAATCGGTGGTACAGATTGCTCATCACCTGGAAATTTGACTGTTTGAAACATTTAGAATTCTTCAAGTGGTAAAACACATTCTACTTAGAAACGAATCTTATGATTTTTCCCTTGAATGTTTTGCAAACCGGAAATGAATCATTCTCAGTCAATTAAAATCTATTTTAGGAACAAAAAAAAAAAAAATTCTTGTGAGGAATTAGCTTTCGCTAACAGATTCACATGCTAGCTATATGAGGGCATAGAAGGGCTACATCTCACACAGTACCAGCTCTCACTAAAATCCTAAAATTCTAACCAGAACACGATGAAGACGACGATGCTTCTTCACACCATATAAACGGTGGCAAAGGTACAACTTTTGCCTGAGGTGACTCACTGAACTTCGCACCCGCAAAGTTAACATTATCTGATTGCTGCTGTCGCCGAAAATGTCGTGCTAACCCTTCAAATTTTTTTCGTGTTAAAACTACCCGATAAAACATTTTGTTCCTCGAAAATTGAGATACCTTTTACCGCTATGAAGCTAATAAATTTATGATAAAAAAGTAATAATGATAGCATACAGCAATTTATTTTATGTATTTTACAACTTTTTTTCCTCAGTTTCCCACGTAGAGATGTAAATAGAGGTATTTGGAAGAACTCGTTGAAATTCCTCGCTGTCACCTCCATGTTATTTTTTCTAAAAATCATAAAGACCAAACGACTCTTCATAGTGAAAAATCTTCTGGAGGAAAGGATTCAATACTAATTTCGAAAAACCGCGTATATATCTAATCGTGTATATATTTATCTAATCGTGGAAAAATCACTTCTCTCTGTTTTTCTCTTCGGCGTCACATCAAGAGAAAATGGTTGCTTCTGGGAGATGCTTTTAATAGATGACGTATCTTCTGATGGTAATTGTGATTGAAACATATTACTGGATGCTGGTGCACTTGAAGAGAAACATGGAGTTGCTGCCATGGAAGCGGGCACATCGACACGCTTTGATAAAGAGGATGTTACGAGCTTAGAATTTTTTGCTATTGACGTATTTACGGCAGGAAAAGAAGCGCATGGTTCAGATTTTGACCACTGTTTTGAATTACGATTCTTTTTTTCTAAGTTACCACTTTGTACACATAATAGACCATCATGTCTGTCGGATTGATGATGGGAGTGTTTGGACGTCTGTAATTAACAGTGCGCAAATCAAATCACGAAAAAAGTCTCTGATAATTGAAATTTATATTGGCACTCAGTAAACCACTAATATGTATATAACATCCTTAGTTATTCGAATAATATTTATACTGCAATGATAAAAGACCTATAACCTGGAATTCTCTTTTTAAATGAACGATTTGAAAGAAGAATATAACCTAAAAAATAAACCTGATGACTGATATTACGCATGGCTTTAGTAGCAACTGGTGTTGTTGGCGCACTTACAGAACCATTTGGGAAAAACAAAGCAAGTGGAACTGATGGCACTGCATGCATAATTCTCGATGACACTGGATGAATGATTCCCGATGACAATGGGCGTATTACTCCCGATAACATTGGATGCATAATTCCAGATGACATTGGATGCATGATTCCCGACAACACTGGATGCATAATTCCCGATGACACCGGATGCATAACTCCTGATGACATTGGATGCATGATTCCTGATGACATTGGATGCATGATTCCGGATGGCACTGGATGCATGATTTGTTTTATTGTTATGGCTGAAGTGTGGATGAATATGCAAAGTTATTTGGTTTAATATAAGGCATTTCGCGAGATTGCTATTTGTCAAACTTCATTCTCACAATAAGGATAATATTGCAACAAGTAATATAACCGAATATTATAGAGAAAAAAACAAAGGATCGATATGCCATTGAACACATTCCTATATTCAACAGAAAATACTTACATGTCAAGCATACAACGAGTGTCAAAATGGAATGCACCACCCGTATTTAGATTCAGAAAGCTATGTTCTTTTTTACAGAGCCAAATCAATCACTAAATTAATTGGACCAGCCGCTACAAAGGCGTTACCCAATACAAATCAAGGTAGAAAGTGTTTATCATAGAAATACTCAATCCAGCGATGAGCATATTAATAATTGATTTTTTCTGATACTTAAAGAATGATAAATATGATAAAATGATCATATAAGACCTGATTCTTCCCTTCTACATTATACATTTATAGACATAAGTATATACATTTATAAGGAGACAAATTGGCACACATTAAACTTTTCTATAGGCATAGAAAAGCTGGAGTGGAAAAGAATCTTTCCTCGCCTTTTCCTTCAGGCGGCAAAATGGTATCAGTTAAACAGTCAAAGCGCATCCCAACCTGACTACCTGTATACTGAGTACTGCTGAAAAACCACAATCATTTTAAAAAGAGATTATCAAGTCTTGTCGCCACCAATATCAGTCCCGTTCACTGACTCAACACAGCATAACTGAAACTAAGCGACCTGCTTATTACATTTGAAATGTGCAAAAGGTTAATACAATATATTATGCATGCACATGGAAGACTTGATAAAACATACGAAATGTCAACAGTGAGAACTGACATCAAATCCACTGCTGAAATGTACGGTACGACTCAATCACTCACCCTTGTCAACTGTCAGTAACAACGGAACATAAAAGTGGCACTGCCATTTCGAAATATTCTTATGACAGTCACATGTGCATTGTCGCGCTGCTTTACACACTTTCAACCATCATCACTAATGGATCTTGAACCATCATCACTAATGGATCTTGTAATCTAAGTTAACACACACAGTTAGCGCACATTCTCCAAAACATTTAAAGAAAAAAAAAAGCAGATGAATTAATCATCACACTTAGAACCCTTCTAGTTGTCTCTACCATTGAAGATAACTGACCACTTATTTGATATTAATCAGGTGAGGAAAGTATCAGATGCTGACCTTATTACCATCGTCCTGTAATTAACTGCTAAAACATTAACATTTACCATTAGCGCTTATGTAAAAATATCAAATAATATCATCAGCTAGCTTCTAAAGTAATTGTATTAGGGAAGAGCGGGAAATAATGAAACTATAATAGAATAGGTTTGACCATAACATAACAGTCATCGAAGAAAGAAGTCGTATTTAGCAATGCCTAGTATAAAAACCTCATGTGACCCACAGTAATCACGTGGGCTTTCCATTTTACATAACGGCCGACAATGACCCCAAACGTTGTAATGACAAAATGAACTCTCTGACCTCAAGAATTGAAGAAAAGGAATAAATGCACTAGAAGTTTGAACAACGAAGAAAGTAAATAAGAGAAAATATATAATATAGAATAGAGAAATATACAGAAAAGACGCATTCCAACTCCATATTTACGTCAAACTAACCGTAAATGATGCATAAACGCTTATGAACCGTGATCACAGTTATCAAGGAATATAACTTATAACAACACAAGTGAACTACGTCAACCAGCACGTAAGTGTTTCTCTGTCAACTTAGGAAGAGTGACACGGTACTTCGCAACACTCATGACAACTGCTCAACGCCAACAACAAATCAGCCGACACTCAAGCGATATGTATGAGTGTATTGATTAAAAGAGATGATGAAATATCATGTGATGTGATGGAGGTAGACATTGTACAAACAGAGAAAGAGCAAAGAGTACGTAAAGACGTGAGAAGATACGAAGGAAGGAAAGAGAAGAGAGAGTTGAATGAAGTGTAACATGTATGTATGGATGGATGACAAGATAGTGCGATTGAATAACAACACTTTGTTAAGTGCCAAATTCAATATTGCTATACAGGAATTGAAATCGGAATTGGAATTGACTCCCTCTCTTTCATCACCATTTTGTATTATGTATTTTATAGGAAGAATTAATGAGAAAGTGAATATTTCAATTAAAACAAACTTTGTAGCAGTATACTGAGACTATAGTATCACCAAGTTTTCAGTGTTTTGTATACTTTGATGTCATATCTTTATATCTCTTTCATTATTATTATCATGATAGGACAAAGTAATCCAAAAGTTATTTCACGCGTGATTAGATGCGTGCTTCATACTATATTATATTAATGTATAATAACATGAATATGACATTGTGGTAAAAATGTTGGATTAATTTAATCAATAATAAAATCATTCCTTCAATAACATTAATCTTAATGATCTGAGTTAGTTTCACTTTAGCGTTACATGGTTTTCCATTCGTGTTTTCAAAATATATGCAATGATTAGTTTTCAGAAACAATTTTCATATGATAAACGTATTCACGGGGTAGAAGAATGAATAGACTTTGGAAATGGTTCATCGGGAAAAGAAATGAATGCTCAGTTACTTATTCTCGATTTGGCGTACCTGGTAATCATTTTTTTGATTTTTTTTTTCGCTGACATATATGATTCATGTTTTTGTTTAATTATTATATCACTCAATTGAATTCTGGTCAAATTTCCACAGTCATTAAAATCTCTGCGAGGATAACGAACTTTTCGTGCTCAAAAGAAAAAAATTCGTGCTTTTTTTCTTGATTCGTTGAATAATTCATTAAATAAATAGTTCAACTTTCTATTAATTATAACACCAGGTGACGTTTTGGACGACCGTCCACAACCATCAACCATTTGTATCGCACAGTTTGACGATAACGACCCGAAATTTATATTCTTTAAGCTTTGTCATGCTCAAAAAGCTGCTGTGGTGAGCATTTCACGTTTCATCAAAATGATATAATTGAATATGCACGTGTTAGTTTCTCTATGGATAACAAGACATCATAGTTCAATATATGTTTCAGGCTGTCGCTGGATTTGGTATGGCGTCTGTTATTCTCATTTTCATATCTGTATTCTTTGAATTTGATTGGTACAGTCACAAAACAGGAATCGATATCATGGCATTAGGTATTTTATTTATTTCTTTTTTTCAGTAAACACATAAGAATTTCGTCGGATGCTCAAAATGCTGCACTGGGGATACAATTCCGTCACTAGGAATCGTGTAGTTTATGTTTCAGACGCTATGTATTGCTTGATTTTTCTAGTTGTAAGAAGTTTTGTTTTCATATATTTGATATTTTTTTCAGCTTTTTTTTTCTTATATCTTGGGATTGGATTACTTGTTCATTACCAAGTAATTGCTGGCATTAAGAAGCAAGCTTCTTATTATCTTTTACCATTTATTGTATCATATATTGTTGCGATCGATACTGAAACGATATTTATTTTGTAAGTCTATTTTTCAAAACAAATCGAGCTACAAAACTCAAAACGAAACAGACCGCTGTATTAAAAGCAGTCACACATGGAAGTTTTATGAGATCAAGGCACGGAAGTTAGAATAGCTTATTCTAGTCTAGACTGTTGAAAATTAGCCTTGATTCCTGGTTAAGAATATCCAAGATTGAATTTTCAGCAGCTTAACCTAAAGTAAGTTGTTTTAACTATCCCTTGCTTTTATATCTTTATTATCTGAACTCATTATTGTTGTTTATGGAACTTTCGCTTTTTTCGATTGCAATTCTGGATTGAAAACTATTAGTTCCAGTAAGATTCTTTGTAATAATATTATTTTTCAGTATTCACATACTGCATATACAGTCTCCATCACTTGATTATTCTTTCAAGGCCGAATCAAACGCTGTTTACTTATTTTCTATCATTACGTTGCTTATTATAATATTATTTCAAGGATTCATGTTAAAAGCTGTATGCCAATGTCGTTATTATCTTTCTTGTAAAGAAATACATTTAACTGCATTGAAAGTTGCAGAAAGCAGTGTAAGTTCTTGATCCGATCATCAATTTATTTGTTATACTAAAATGATACGCATTTTTGCATTACTTTATGGGTAGTGTAATAACAAAGGCCTAATAAGTGAACCAGTTTCCTCAGCTTTTATATGAACAAATTCTCTGATCTTGTATATGAAATGCAATGAATACTTCAGCGTACGAAATATCCTGGAATCCATGTTGTTTTCGCTTCACCTAGATTTAATGTGAATCATGCGGTGAGCACAGCCAACGGCAATAGAGTAGCTGATGGAGGCGTAATCGAACAGGGAATTAATTCGGTATGGTAACGTGCACACTTGCAATCTTATTGCTAGTAGTTATCTACCAGTGTGATACTTAGGCGTAATGGTCAAGTCTTTGGAATTCTCTAGCATTTATCATTATTCGTTCGGCCACTTAACACCAAATTTTCTATCGTTCGCCTTCATTTGTCTTCTATTTTCAGTATTGCATTTCCTTATGTTGAATTGATTTGCAAACCACGCATAGTCAATCTTCAGATTACTTCTTTTTCAGGTTATTTTTTAGATCTGCTTCTGAGAAGCAAGCAGAATCTCCGTTTTGTTTTATTCCGCCGATTTTAGCGGTTAAAGTAATTAAAAATAATTTGAAGATAATCTCAGCGATTACAAATTTTTTTTCCGGAAAGTTTTCTAGCGTGTAGTTCAGGTCTTGTAATGAATACATTTTCAGTCACTTTTATTGTTAAGTTTTTAACTACTGTGCTCTTTCTTTCAATTTCTAGTTGCTAACATAGATGTACCTCGTGGTTTCAAATCTCTATCGTTGCTAATTTGCAGAAATTTTCGTGAAACTTCTTTTTTGTTGTATGTTTGATCAGAAATGCCGGCAGCTTTAGTTGTATTATGTTAGAATGATTCAAAGGTATTAGTTATTTTAAATTTTATTGCGGGTCCTGCACTTTTGCAGTTCAGGCTCATCGATTTTGTACATTCTCATGCCCATTGTATATTTTAAATTACTGCTGTTGAATGTTGCCTTGTTTTAGTACTTAACTGAAGAAAAACTGGATTAAATTGGAAATTTCCAGTATTGCATTTGTCCATACCACACAATTCCATAATTATAAATTTATTCGAGAACAATAATCAAGGTAACACAGTGTTTGGGGAAAGAAAGAGAGGTTATTTGAAGAGGGATTGTGATAACTCTGCCTGATCATTGAAGACTGGTTATAAATTGTGATTGAAAAGTGAATATTCTCTTCAAAGTATTATCAGCTATAAGACATTGCTATTCCATTAGAAACATAATTTTTTCTGTCGTCTTTGTTTAATTATTGGTATTTTTATTGCTACCCAGATGAATATATTACCGTCATCAATAAGATGAAAACTTCCGCTATTGTAGTACGAAGAAAATAACTAAGATATTTAGTGAGACAAGGTTAATGCTTAATGTCATATTGTGTTTAAGTGGGAAGGACATAAGGACGATGCATTACTACTCAAATGACAATATCCATCTGACTGAGGTGTATATGAGAAACAACAGCAATGACATTTATCACCGTGTAGCACACAGTTTACAGCAGGTATTCTGGTTCCTAATATCTGACATAGCAGTGGTTCCACATATTGATATGTCGGCCCTTTGCTTAGTGTTAATAGTTCAGCAGTCACATAGTCTGATACATCACATCCATCCTGTGATGGTACTACATTCGGATATCTCTCCTAAATCAATATAACATATGCATTGCCAACCAAGTTTAGTCTCATGCATGAAAAATTTTACATAGTTCTTACCTGTTACTGTTTACTGAACTTGAATTTAAGTCTTATTTAAAATACCTTTTTTTTCAGAGTGCAAATTAATTTCCTAAGAAATATTTACAAAAGTATAACCAATTTCTAGCATCATAATAAAGTGACAGGTGAATGTGCTGATGTGGATGGGGAAGGATAAGTAAAAGAACCTTGAGATCTCGTAAATCGCCAGCTGAAAGTGGATCGAACACACAAGCAACATCAGATCCAGAGCAAGCTTCTGATTCATAAGCTTGAGCTAGAAATGATTTTGATCTCCTGGAAAGAAAGTAATTTTAAGAAAGTACTTTAAAAAAAAATGAATAATCCACAAACAGTTATTTTGATGATTGTTAGCATAGTCTGAGTCCTACTTCTTATGAAATTGTATGACAAAAAGCCAACTTGCAACATCTAATTCGTCGGCTACATTTGCCACAATTCTGGGTAGTGATACGTTTATAGAGTGGATGCTCCAAGTAGCTGTTCGAATTGTTGCGTAAAAAGTTGAGACCAAATTTGATAACTTTTTTGGGTGGAAGCTACAAATTTTTCTTCTAACTTTTTTTCCTCTCGAAATATTCAAGCAATCGAGTTTTTCGCATGACGCATTATGAAAGTGATAAAAAAAACTGGGTAAGATCAATTATTTAAATTAATCAGTAGGTGAATTGAAATAAACAATCCAACAATTTAAAAAATATAAGTGAATATTCGGGCAGTTTTATTATTATCTCTAAATGAACTAACTTTACATCCAAAATTTTTAACACTTCTCAAAAAGAGAGTGATTGCATCAGCCAAATCACCGTGCGGTATAATGCACTGGGACCACTCGGATAACTCGTCCCGATGTTCCTCACAACTTATACCGAACAGTGCTTCATCACTTACACCTGAAATCATCTCAGATTAATTTTATTCGAAATCTTTCACATATTGATCATTCTTCCTTCAACAATTTATTTGATTTTAAGCCTCATTCAAAGCAAAATAATTAGCATAATGAAATAAGGAGAGAAAAGCCGGAATGTCAGCTCATTGTTTTTAAATTTAGATTTTCAGATTTAATAGTTCAATGCGGGAAGTATATAATGAGACATTTCCTTGTTTCCTTGTTACAAACTATTTTTCTCATTAACTTCAATAGTCTAACGTTTTCCAGATATCTTGCCGAAGATTCATTATTCGAATTATCTTCTTAGTGACAAAAATTTTAATAAATGCTCATCCTAAAAACTTATTATTTCCTTGACATTGTGATACATTGGTTTCTTATTTGGCAATAAAGCTAAAAATTACAATTCGTAAAAAAACTCTAAACAACATTATGAAGATAAATTTTGGGCATTACTCATCATCCATCATATGTATTAAGCAAGCAGAATTCGATCTTCTTTTATAATTAATTTGATAATACTAAAATGCTATCGTAATGGATTGGATTTAGCGATTCTGTTTATTTTGATTGTTTGATAGGTTTAGATCAGCAAAGAAGAAACAAAGAAGAAAAAATTGAAAATTTTAACCAACCAAAAATGTAAAAAAGAAGAAACCAGAGAAGTTGAATATATAAAAGCATTTTTTCCACCTGATATAGATGATTTGCTTCCCACCAATGTTAATGCTAGCAATAGCAGCAGTAATAACAAATTCACTCTTTTATCAACTTATCTCTCAATTCTTGTCCAAACATTAATCTTACTTTAGCAGGTCAATAATCGTCGATCAGCACATAAATGAATTACTGCTAATGGTTCGCAACAGCTGCGTGGATGCATTTCGAAGTATTACAAAGTTTTAATTTCAGAAATCTCGGAGGATTTTGAGTAACAAGAATGAAGTTTAAATATATCAACATATATATAAATTGGAATTTATCGATGTATGTTTATCAGTATAGCACAGAAATTTTTAATATACTTAATGTGCTACATCATTGCAAATCGACGAGCTTAATTGGATCACAAATTTCTTATTGACCTGATCTCAGTTCATTTTGTTGAAGTTCGGATGTATTTATATGAAGCTGAAAAGCTCTTGCGAATATCTGTGTAATGAAGAAAGCATATTGATGCCAAATAATGCACAACCATAAATTGTAGAATAGCTATTAAATTAGAATATAAAAGTCTAACTGTTGTTAGTTCTGTTACAAGAGTTAAGCACTGATTATCGCCTTTTGAATTGACTAAAATTTATTCATTATCTGTTGCTAAGATGCTAATTCCTGTCATGTCGTTGAAAATTGTCTGCTCTGCTGTTTTATTGACCTTTCTGTATATACTAAACTGATAATGGACAGTTCGCTTTTTTTTTTCAAATACTCGTTGATAATAGTAGGAAAAGTGATCTTGTAACCAATAGATAAAATCACTTATCACAGCTCTGCTTTACCAATTTTTCTCTTTCGAGTGCAACCGGTTCATTCATTGTGTCACAGCTGACCTGTGTCCCCCTTGAGCAAGGCATACAACCACTGTTTTGTACTGTGAATTGTTGCGATGATTTCCATACAACCATTGTAAATAAGATATGGGTGAATTTCAAATAAATTTTACTGAAGTAAATGTGAAAACAATTCAGTGAGGAAGTAATAAAATCAGTGCGGACAATGTCAGATATTTTCAATAATGTTGCCATTACCTTGGACGTATTTGAAGTCATCCATAGAATGTTGAGCTTTACAATCGATTAACATTGGAAATGAATGATTTGATATGTTTAATATTGTTGGATAAGTAGAAGTTCTAGAGTTCCATGAAGTATCCAAATGGAAGGAATACTTTTGTTGCGATGACAAAACATATCAAAATGTCATTCTACCACTATGTGAACTTTAAAAGCATTTGGAAAAAGAACCAACAAAGAGTTAGAAATAATAGTCTCATGCGTAATCAATATGGACAAATAACAAAGAGTATTTTGTTTCGAATATAGCATTTCACTTTACGAGGACAAATTACCACTACTTATAGATCCGGAAATATTTTTGATATTTGAATCCATTTCAAACCAATAGGCATGATTACGGGTGTTGTGACGATGATATCAAAAATTTGAACATGTGGACAAGAAGCCATGTGTTCGAATATCTAGCGATGTGAAAAAATTTTTATTTAGAAACTGTAAGTTCAAAGTTCAGTTTACATCTCAATTGGGTGTGTACCTAAATAGTGTGACAGCCCAATTGCGAACGACATTATCCATCATTCTATCATCGGACAGCTGCGCGTTGTTATGACACTGCAACAATATACTAAATTGCTGTCAACCATTCAGTACGTTCAACTCTTCAACTTGTATATTACCATCACTTTCCTAAAAGCAACAATTTGCGTTATTATATGTAATCTGGAAGTATAACAATTTGCTCACGTATCACGTACGTCCGTTAAACATATGTTACATCTCAACTTGTCCATTTCCTGAAAATGGTCTTGCTTGTCACCACCACCTATCAAAAACTCAAAGAATCCCAGATAATTTTCATCAGAATAAAAAAGTGCAATATGGAGAGATGAAACCAGACCAGGTTTCGCTAGGATCCTGTTTTATTGAATCTTCCTGTTTCATTTGTGAAGAAAACTAGGGAGAGTGCACCTGTTGCGAAGGTGATAATGGTAACTTTTATCACATCATCACTTCTTTTAAGTATGAAATTCTGATTGGATGGGTAGATCACACAGTCATTTCATTTTGTATAATCCTTCCAATTACCCAAAGTACGTAAATTTCCAAAATAATTTATTTCTGTCATATGTAGAGAGAGAAGCTATCTCTTCTCTTCTAAGTAATCACCTAGTATGATAGCTATTAGATGTGATTACTTCTATGTTTTAATAGTACCGTAACATAGTCCCAATTGCAGAGGAACTTTTCGGCTTCCATCCTCAAGTACTTTTACCTTTTCCTTAACTCGATTTGCTATTCATGCTTAATTCTAAAATTAATCTCGGATTGTTGTCCCGTACTTCCGATCACCATTTACATCTTTTCTTTTTTATTATGTTTACTGTTTTAAGTGAGAGATGTAAAGATAGCTTTCTAATATTATTACATGACAGCTATTTTAGCTCATGCAGGCATGCTTTTCTACTAGAATTACCAATTATTATGTTTATCCTTTTTTTTGGTTTGCTTTTCACCTCCTTCTCCACCTTCATTTGTGAGAGAGCAGGAGGATGCATTTCAAGTTACTCCAAATCATTGTACACTCCTCACCCAACCCGTGGATCGCAGGGATGGATGCATTCTCTGTCTCTCTCTCAGATGCTGTCACTCTGCTGAAGCTGTTTTCCTTTTCCTGCATTTCGATGATGGATGTTGATGGGAGTATCACTATCGTTTTGCTAAGGTCACCCCTCCCACCATTCGAGGATGGAAATGTGGAGTTCCTTGTCGTTGTCGCTTTAACCTTTATGTCGTTATTCCGCGCTTGATACTTTCGCAACTATTCACCAGAAATGTAATCGCCGACATCTGTTTGCCATTATTTGTATTTCAATTATGCTAGACTATCTTTGCAGGAGGACAGAAAGGGAACTGAAAGAAAGGTTATTGTTTTCAATTTTTGGTGTTACTTCTACCGACTGATGAATGATAACGTCTATCGAAAAGACGACAATGTACGGCTAGCAGCTTCCATTCTTGTAAGTTGTCTTTGTCGGTTGTTTATTTACGCTTTCCTCTTGTGTTATTTCATGTCTTCATTTTTCAGACTATGTCTTATAATGCTTGCACTCAGTGAAAAGTGTGTCGTTGAAGAGCTAGAAATTTTTAAGTAGTTGTTGAGTGAGAAGGGTGTATTAAAAAGAAAAAACTATTCTGACATTAGCAATACAGTGACTAGTACATAACATGTTGTCTAAACATGTAAAGATACAACTGTATAGAAAATGTCGAGACGACGTAATTATTGAGAAAAGATACAATATATAATTATACATGGCATAACCATAGCTTTAATAGTTATTTTTAAGTTATCAATTAACACTGATAGCTAATTGTGATATGTTTTTCAGAACGGGGGAAACACGAATGGAAAGCAGACTAGTGTAGACAGGCGATATGTGGCCAACAACGAGCAGCACCCGAAGCTCTGGTATCATGGGAATATCACGCGTGAACATACTGAAAAGTTAGCTCTTTCCTAGAGAGATTAGCAGTGTTTTTAACAAATTGTTGAGTATCTTCTTAATTGATTTGTTTAGAAAGAAATTTTAGAATGAGACTTATTTGATCTACGGCTTCTGACCTGTTTTTTGAAATATATTTTATCTTCTCTTCACTACATCTGTTATATCTTTTTCTAGAATATTATCCGGGCAAGCGGATGGAACATTTCTTGTGCGCGATTCTACCAACTTTCCAGGCGACTACACACTGTGTATGGCCTTCAATGGCAAGGTGGAACATTATAGGTATCTTTTTATAGATCAAGTTGAAGATTTAAACGCATTGAAGTGGTACGAGTGGATACACTCAAGTGATGGGTACATGAAGAGCTATTAAAGAATGATTTTTCTTTACTACAGAAAAATTGTAAGAAATGACATGGGAATTTGCAGGATATATCAATTAAACGGCATCCTGACGTGTGACCACGAGGAAACTTTTGATAATTTAACACAGTTGATAGCGGTAAGCCATCGGATAACTTGTTTCTGAAAAATGGTAGTAGTCGGATGTGTTCCAAAAAGTCACCTTTGTCAGGGACTTTTTTTTTCAACTTCGTTCTTTGATAATTTGACACTTCCAGCATTACAAACGAGACGCAGATGGTCTATGTCATCGCCTTATAACGCCGGTAGTCAGTGATGATTATCGAATTACTAGAGACAATGAATCTTTAGAAGAGCGAATACGACTCTTTCGTGAAGCTTCATTAATTATTAGTCGAAGTGAAATACGTCTTGGGGACATTATTGGTCATGGAGAATTTGGCGGTTTGTCCAGCAGACTTTTTTTGTGAAATTTTGTGCCTTCAAAATGTGTGAAATGCTCCCTGCTAGGAAAGTAGTTTCTCACTAAATGGTGAAGGATTAGGAAGTATGTAACAGCACCATCGTTTTTGTGCTTTTATATCTTTGCATTCTAATTGCATGCTTTTGTTTATTTAGATTTTTAAACTATTTAGATGTGCTTTTGGGAGACTACGACGGTCAGAGAGTAGCAGTGAAGGTCCTGAAGCGTAGTGAAATGGTGCAGTCATTATTGGACGAAGCAAAATTTATGATGTAAGTGTTTTACAAGGGAATCTTTCTGATACTTACTGCTATAGAGGAAATGTAACGTTCCATTGCAATTTATTGATTTTTCAGTGGCCTGAAACATGTGAATTTAGTGGCTTTGCTAGGTGTTGTTATTGATGATGCGAGAGAAATGTTCATGATGACCGAATACATGGCTAATGGAAATCTTGCAAGTTACTTAACTTCTACATATACTTCCATTCTTGTTTATCTCTCTGCCCAGTTTAATTCTAGAGGAAATTCTCTATGCTGTTCATTAAATCTTTATGCAACTAATGCAATTTATAGGTAGATTTCTTGCGTTCACGTGGGCGCCATCAGGTTGAGAAAATGCAGTTGACTCAGTTTGCGATTGATATTTGTGAAGGTATGAAATTTCTGGAAATAAAAAATGTGGTACATCGTGACTTGGCTGCGAGAAATGTGTTGCTAGATGATGAGCTTACGGCAAAGATAAGCGACTTCGGACTCGCGAAAGATGCTAATGAGTGTCAGTATGCAGAAAGTGCGCTTAGCAAGTTTCCAATCAAATGGACTGCTCCGGAAGCTTTACGATATAGTGTTAGTATTTTATTTCTTTCTTAATGAAATATCGTATTTGTTATATCAATCCTAAACAATTTAGCAACACTTTTGCTGAATCCTTTAAAGTGGTTTATCAAAAATTGTTGGAAATTGTTGAAACAACAGTGTTGTATGAATGTGCAGATCAACAAAAATCGTTTTTTGTTTCTTCATGCTTTAATTGTTTAATAGAGCTTGGGTTACTGGGATGAAAAAGCAAAACGCATAATCCAGATTATAATAGTTAATACCTGTTAGTAAGAATTGGGTCAAGAAGATTAATTTTAGAAGTTTTCAACGAAAAGTGATGTATGGTCATTTGGTGTGCTGCTATGGGAGATATTTTCATTTGGAAGAGTACCCTATCCTCGCATTGTAAGTTATAAGTTGCATTTCAAAAAAAAAGAAAGCGAATTGATCAGTTAAACAGATCCTCAGTTACTGCTTGAAGATTATAAACTGAAAACCACTTGCCTATACAAATTTCCACAGTTTTTCTTATTTTTTAAAATGAAGGCTTAACATATTCATTAATAAATATATTTTTCAAATAATACTAAAAAATATTGATAATTAAAAGCCATTTATCAGCACTACAGAAATCAGTCGCACATTGTAAATGTGAGTGCGCAGATCACTTATGAAGTTCGTATTGTCATTACTTCATCAACTCTTTTTTTTTTTTTTTAAAGGTGTAACGAAATAGAAACTGGATGACCTGTTCTTTCATATATTTTATTAACTAAATGAAAAGTAGGAGAGAGATTAAGAAAGAAGTTGAACAAACTATAAATTATTCATCAAGTGTGAAGCATGACTAAGTAGCCAACTGCTACGAACTATTCCAGCCAATACAAGATGTTGTGCGGCATATCGAAAAGGGATACAGAATGGAGCCACCGGAAGGGTGTCCGATGGAAATCTCACGTCTAATGAATGAATCCTGGATGTTGGAGCCATCCGTCCGTCCCTCTTTCACTGTTATATTGCAAAGGCTTAAACTCATTTATGCAAATGTTGTTTCAGTTCTTCACTCATGAATGTGGAACTAAAGTTTCGAAAATGATTTGAGAGTACAATAACTTTTATTAATTGCTCTTAACTCACTGGCATGTTAGATCTCTTCTTTGAGGTTTTTTTTTTTTGGTAGTCAGATTGCTTATGCATTGTTGTCGTGCCTTTGTAGATCTTCAAAAATACATATTATAGGAGAAACATACTATGCTATTCACTCAGCCAGGGTATGGCGTTAAAATCCTGTTTGTCCATCTAGAGCTGTTTTTGTAGGCTAAGAATTGGATTGATTACTTCGACACTGCAAATGAACTAATTTTATATTTTATAATTACATGAAACGGGGAACAAAGTGAATATTTGGAGAACTTTCTATGCAGCAATAGATAGAAACGTTATTTGTTTATTGCGTCTTAGTTTTGTTTGTAATTTCGAGAAGTGTTACCACTGGATTGTTGTTTGTCGATTTGTTCATCAATATTTAAATATGTATCAGCTTTATTGGTTGGCAAGATCAAAAAATATATTTTCAAATTTTCTTTCACTGACTGGTGAAATGTTTTCCACATTTCTATGTAGAACATAGAAATGAAGTTTGGATTTCTGCAGATTACTATGCTAATTGAAAGAACGAGATCTCGGTCACCTCAGCTCAGTTGGTCGATGTATCCTCATCGATATATTGACCTGGGATTTCGTTTGTTGTTATTTCATAACTGATAATGCTCGTAATAGGTATGAATTGTCACAAGTATTTTCCAAATGCATTTTTTTTTTCGTCGTAACCGTCGAGAAATAATAGTATAATCAGTCTTGACTGCACACAGATTATCTGTGAGAAAATGTTGAGAAAGATCTGTTATGTACGAATGTAAATCTTTTTATGTAGAAGTATAAAATTGTACAGGTCAGTCCCATGCGAGTTTTCTTTACATGTTTAGTTAATCAACAGAATTATTTGGAGAACCTGCTCACCGCCGCAATTACCACAAGAAAATAAGTGACAGAAGGGATATGACATATTTTGGACATTTGGCTGTTGTGTTTTGTTCAATGAATAGGGTCTATGAAGATGTCGTCCACTTAGTTCCGTTAGTTGTTATTTATACGATCTCTGTAGACGTTACTTTTCCTTCTCGGATGTATTTCTGCTGTTCTCGTTATATGATATCTGTTCTGCTTATTACTTTTACCTATGCGATGCTACTACATGTTAATTTCAATAAATTTGTACATAATGATTTAATATGAAGCAAATATATGCACTGCACTATATAGCGTGCTCTCACGTGGATTATTGTTAATTATATATTTGCATTTTATGTGTTAAAGGATAAGATCTTGTATGGATGTTATATGTAAGTGAAGTTTGCTTACTTAGAGCCTCGAATGTCAATTTGTGGCTTGAGCGTCAGGGATTATAAGCAGCATGTTACTGCATCCTTCTGACGAACAGCAACGTCGCGATAGTTTTCGTTCATACGTGGCAGCATACGACAGTCATGTAGAGGTTCGTTTCTTCGTTCATAAGTACCAACAGTTTTGTTTTTATTGCCTATAACTACTGCATAGAACATTCCATGAATGTTATGAGAGAGATTCCACGAATGGACATTAAATATAAATTCTGCGCAATATTCATATATTCTTTAAATTTTCTTCTAAATATAATATGTAAAAATTATCACCACTGAATTTTCAGGTTAAAGATATTAACGAAACACCGAATTTCATTCTTTTAAACGGTAGGCGTCGCTTTATCACACACTATTTGCAGTCTGCATTTCATATACTTAGAAAGTACTTTCAAATGAAATTTGTTTAGCTTTCAGGGGAGATAGTGTCATCACAATGCAATGATGTGCTACTCTATCCACCCTTCCAGGATAATTACTTTGGGAAACTTTATTGCACCAACTTTCGCATATGCTTTATACCACTTGCCCAAAAGGTTCCCACTTATTACTGTAGTATTTAATAATAATGATAATGACAGTAATTATAAAATAAATTTAATAGCTTAATAATTTAATAAAAGATTTTTATAAGTATTGCTATCACTATAATAAATATATTTTTATAACGAAATATAAACATTATAACAAGTGTTGATTTTCAAGTTAATTAATAATAAATATTTATCGGCATTACTGACAATAACAATTATGAATTATTATTAATTAGGTACAACAATTGTCATTGCTGATAGTAGTAAATATTACAGTTTCACTTTTGTGATATAATATTTTACATCGCATCCCTCCGCTATAGTTTTCCTGTTTTCAGCAGCCAGATCCATGCTGCAGTCGGAGCGTCATATTTGCAGATGAACACCAGGTACCTCTGTGCTCCATTGCTTCCATATATTACTCTCCGTCACCCATCGGTTTGTCTTCTACATTTCTTTTTAGCCTAGTCTTGCTTGTAGCATCTCTTCATTACATAGCTGATTTAATCATACACATAATATACTGATTTAAAAGAACTGCATGGTTCTGCTCTTCTAATATTGGCTATGTTTTGTTTTACTCCACTGGCCGAAATTGTCGTGATATGCTTTCTTTTTTTTTCTTTTAAACGAGTAGATCAAAGTTGCAGTTGGCCATTCGAGTGCTTCTCCGAAGAAATACAGATTGATGACAGCTCCAGCCTCACAACTTGATATTATTTCGTCAGTTAAAATCTATACGAAAGTATGCTACTTTAATAATCCAAGAATCAAATTGTTTTAAGTATAGAAACCATAATATCTCTTTTTTTTTCGGGTATACTATTTTTTGAAGCTTTCTGCATTGAACATTGAAGGAGATATCGTTCTAGGATTTTCGGGTATGGACCTTTGATCTACAGCGGAGCCAGTTTGCCGTAAATCTTGCAAATAATATTTATCATTTTTCTCGCCCTTCTTCGCTTTCCAATTTGTTGCAACTTTCTTGCGAAGGATTTCGAAAAACGCCTCAACCAGGTGCACTTGAAATTTCTAAGTTAGAAATTGTTCTATTATAATTCATTTTAAATGTTACTTGCAGTTCTTACTAATTTTGCATATTCTTACTAATATTTAATCATGCCTTCTTTCTCTTGCTCTTCAAGACATAGTTTAGCGGTTGGTACTACCTAGTAGTGCTGTTTGATTACCTAGGACTAAGCTGTTATGAGATTTCCTTCGGCGATGGCTTCGTTCGCTTTTAGTTATAGGAAAACTCGTCTTTGTGGTGAGACGTAGAAAAGTTAAAATTAATTATTTAACCTTTTTTGTACATGTTTTTTTATATATGGAAAGAAGAATCCTTTTTTATAAATCTTACAATTTAATATTATTGCTGTGAAATTCGTTCCTAAATGGGCCAGTTTTGCAGCACACAACGCACTTCTATATAATAATGGGAATGACTGGCGAAAAGAGTTGCTGAGATGTGGGGACAGCGAAACACGATGGCGTATATGTTTTTTGAAATCAGAAATATCTCAGCAGAAGGCAGTTGTGCCCAGGTTCACATGTTTCTACCTTCTCCAAGACCATAACTCTAAAGTTTTTCCATTGCTTCCTTGTCGTTTCTACTATTTCCTTCTGACATCTTAATCTAATGTGTATTGTTGCAGTTATCCATTTTGTGTTGTTGTCCCGAGTGATCTCTTTGATGTTACAGTATATGAAAACCTTATACCCAACTGGTGTAATGGTAGATTCCCGGTTAGTTGGTTTTCAGTGATGAAAAGATAAAATACGGTAGATATTTTTTAGGACTTTGTTTACAATATCTTGTTTAGGTTTGGTGTTGGTCATCTTCAAATGGTAGTGCATTGCTTCGTTCGTCTGCTTGTAATAAGGATCTTAATGCTCAAGAATTGTGGAAAAAGTATGTTTTTTACATCAAATGCGAGAAGTCGTTTGATATCTTAAATAGTGTGACAGCCTAAATGAGATTACAGAGTATTGTGGCCTATTTGCCAAGCTCATCCTCATCGTCGACCACCTCAAGTAATTGATTGTGACATATCCGCTGTGCGTATATCATCTTCGTTCGAAAAACTCCGCGAACTTTGCTCTTTAGGTATTTATTATTTCATCTTATAGATGTGATGTTGAACCACATGAATCAGATTTGAAGACTTGTGGTTATGCCGCTAGTGAGTTATAAAAAAGGACTGTATTTAGCTTCAATCTTTTTGTAGAATGTCACAAAAAATAGAAACTGGAAAACCAACTAGACATGTTCAGTCTGAAATTATTTTTAGACTCAAAGGAACGTTTCACCGAAAAAGAAAAGGAATGGTATACACTGGTTGATGATACAGGCTGGTGTGCTTTAGTATTTCGATGTCTTCAACTGTCGAGTAAAGTTATTCACAGACTCATAGATAATCAGCGATCTGTTGTTGTAACTGGTTGGTCTCTTCAATCGTAACACTGCACTTATTCTCCTTTAACAAGCAGCTGTGAAGTCTGCTCGTGAAAGCATTAAAAAGTCCGAAATAAATGAGACTTTTGTAAAGGAGCCTATACACATAGCTATATCAGTAATCATTTGATTAAATTTCAGTCGATGATTTTTTCGAAATAGAGTTTAAAAGAAATATGAATATATTTTGGTAAATGTAAGGAAAAAATACTTCCAGACGGAGATGGTTTCAACGCATCAGCAGTGGTATCATCATTGGTGCAGGTGTGTACGGATCGTTTCTATAGAACGATAACTGGTTTTAGCGCTCTCATTGAGAAGGAGTGGATAGCACTAGGGCATCCCTTCGGGCTCAATATGTTTGGCTGTACTCTTATAGCCAATATCCCGGTTCGAATCCTTTCTGTTTCTTATTCATATGTTTCCCTGTTTCGAGTTGGTCTCTAGTTCAGATGTTTATATTTAAGTCCAAATTTTCACACACTTCAGAGGCAGTTTGATTAATTAAATCAAACATTGCATAATTTTGCTAACATATTACAGCATTCACGGCCGAAAGCCTGTACAGCAACTTTCCTCTTATTTCTGGACTGCGTAGCACAACTTATACGTCTTCATCCACT